TGGCGAGATATTAGTCCAATTGTCAAGACGGCTATTTTTCATACGGTGCCTAGTCTCACCACATCCCTCCCGTGGCACGTGTTAGTATCTTTTGTATGAGATCACTATGAAGAAAAATATCCTTAAAAAACATGAAGATTATATTGTATCGACACACATTCTTGTGTTTCAATTCCTTTAGGATTTAGGTGTCCATTCTAGAAAGAGGAAACATAAAAAATCGCAACACTCCGGGTACGGTACATGAATTCAAATTTGATTCCTAATATAGAATCTGCCCCCATTTGGTAGTTCCTTTGTGAAAAGGCAGGTACACCCTCAGCTACTGCATCAATTGATGCACACAACCTTTTTCATTGCAGATTTTTTGCATACTTAAAAAGGGAGAATGTATTCTCGAGAAAGCTAGGAAGATTACAACAACACACTTATAGGTTATTCAATATGATCTTATATAATATAGGGAACCTCATCAACATGGGCATGTAAAATGTGGAATCCTGCATGAACGTGACACTGTAGTCTGGGTAACATTGCATTGGACATGAATTTGCATATGGTCAGGGACACAAGGATTTAATGAATATGTGCGTAAAATTTTATGATGAGATATCCTGAATTGTGAGTTGCACAAAACAAATCATGGATTATGGGGACGAACAATACATGTGCTGAAAAGCCACCATTTTTTATTTAGCTCTCATTTTAACCTGCTTCATCATGAAAATTTTCACACATGTACACTTTTGGTATATGTCTATTTTTTCCAAATAGTTTTTGAAACAATAATGTATGGATTTGAATTTTGAAAATTAAAGCATCCATTTGGCGTTTTTGCTCAAACTTGCACTCTTTTATTTGGCAATTATCATGCTAATTACATTTCAATGTGACCTATGACGGCCTATATATGACGTTGACCTCCTTATCATCATGAGCTGTGGTTTATGTCTCTATATCCATGCAAGGCACCCGATGCTTGACACACCTCGGTGGTACTAGGACAATATAGCTATAGATGTGATTAGTGTGTAGGAAATGGTAGTTTACGGTTACATGGGTATTCTCTAACTAGCATTTGTGTAATAGTATTCTGTAATAGCGAGCAATTACTTATTCTGTGTTGTTTTAAGTTGCAAGTGTGACATAATTCTTAATTTTTCTTGGGTAATTATTACAAAAATATATATAAGGGATAAATTTATATATAACCAATATATGCTTTATAAGGTAGGTTCTTAAAAAAATATTAAGTCAGATGATGAAATAAATATAAGCCCGGTGGTTACACTCTTGTATCCATGTCATACTGATAATTGTCATGTCAACCTTTCAGTCATACCCAATCCTCTAGGATTGCCACAGATTCAACACACATATCCATGTCAGATTGTCTTCGGCTACACGGAGATTTCTGATGGTCGAATTAGACATCAGAATCCGGGTCTGATTAGGACAGTTGTGTTTGTGTATGATGTTCTGCAGTGCACTAGTATTATAAATGTATATCCATGCAGCTGAAAATGGAACACTGGTTTTGAGTAACATTTTATTCGGCATACATGGATTTTTTTCATGAATTTTTTTTTTGTTTCAAAAATATTTCTTGGCCCCTTTGTTCTTCTGATTTCCTATATAGAAACAACGGGACACCTATAACATATATAGAGTCGAAATAGAGTGCATTAATTACTCCGATGATGCCAATATATGCACCATATATACATTGTGAAGCAATATCATTAAGTCCAATGTTTACAGTTGTATCCATGTCCAACTTATAGTTATCTTGTCAAACTCAGTCATACCCAATACTCTCGGGCTGCAATGGATTCAACACACATATCCAGGTCCAATTGTCTTCTAGTATGCAAAATTCACTGATGGCCGAACTAGAGATCCGAATCTGACACAGATTCAAACAGTTGTGTTTGTGTGTGATGCTCTGTTGTGCTCTACATTATAAATGTATATCCATGCAGCTGAAAATGGAACATTGGTTTTGAGTAACATTGTATTCGGCATAAATGGTTTTGTTTCATGAAAATATGATTTTGCTTTTCAAAAATATTTCTTGGCCCCTTTGTTCTTCTGATTTCCTATATACAAACAATGAGACTCCTATAACATATATAGAGTTGAAATAGAGTGCATTAATTACTCCAATGATGCCAATATATCCCCCATATATACATTGTGAAGCAATATCATTAAGTCCAATGTTTACAGTTGTATCCATGTCCGACTTATAATTGTCTTGTCAAACTCAGTCATACCCAATCCTCTCAGATGGCAATGGATTCAACACACATATCAAGGTCCAATTGTCTTCTACTATGCAGAAATCGCTGATGGCCGAACTAGACATCCGAATCCGACTCAGATTCGGACAGTTGTGTTTGTGTCTGATGCTCTGGTGTGCTCTACATTATAAATGTATGTCCATGGAGGTGAAAATGAAACATTGGTTTTGAGTAACAATGTGTTTGACATACATGGTTTTGTTTCATGAAAATATGAATTTTTGTTTCAAAAATATTTTTTAGCCCCATTGTTCTTCTCATTTCCTATATAGGGACAAGGACACTCTTATAGCATATAGAGTAAAGATAGAATGCATTAATTACTCCAATGATGC